CTATTAATGTAATGGGACCTTACTGGTACATTCATCAATGTAAGACACACTTGGATTCTGGTAACTCGAAGTCTCTTGCATTCTGTAGCGTGACCAAGTCCTGGTAGGTGGCTTTCATTTTGTTCCTTCTGGACAGCAGTTTGTATTCCCTCTAATAGATGGTGGAGCTAAGAAACCCAGGGATTTCTAAGAAGGGCAATCTGTCATGCTCATGTATATTCTTCTATAGACAGACAACTTCTGCGCAGCTCTATCAATCTGGACATGGACAGTCATTCCAAACAACTTCAGCTAAGCTCAAAAGAGAAATGGCAAGAGAGCCTTGCCCAAGGACACTACAAAATATTTTGAGAGCTTTATAAATAGCATATTCATAGATTAGTATCATAAATTTGGTTCTACTGAGTCCATAGATATGGGGAATTACTCTGCTGCTGGAGCTCAGACTTTGGATAAGAAGAAGAATGTAATTACTTACAGCCACTAACAGTCCCGTGGGCCTTTTCACAGTCACAGAACTAATTACCCTTTCAGCTGGCTGAGTTAAAATGAGCCTGACTGCTGTTATTTCAGTTGTGGATGAGGCATGTATGACACAGAAACACTGGTAAGGAGTTCTGCAAGGCACCGAGGCTGTGATGGCTCTGCAAAGGGGTTTCCCTGGATTGTCTTGAAGAGACAAGTGCTTCCTTATGGTCCAGAATCTGTGCATCAAACACACTCCTCTCCACATCTCTAAGTGTCAGACACCTCTGTCTCCTGTGTGACAGATTTTCCCGACTGATACACCTCCAAGAAATGTAGTGGGAAACAGGATGAACGATAATGCTGTTGACACTTGTTCTCCAGGCTTTCAATCAGCAAACATAAACAAAAAATGATCAAGTATATGTAAACTATGATTAGGCTATTAATTGTTTTGCCATTTTAAAGCTTCAACCTTAATGACTCAACTCTTTCCTTTCCACTAATATTCCAGGGTAAATTATTAATAATAAATGTTAATAACTATTGTAATATGCAATAAAATTAATTTTGAGCTGTGGGTTAAAAAGCAGGTCTCAATAATCCAAGGAGAGTTTCGCAGTGGATTTGGTATAGAGCTAAAATATTCGTCAGCACACATTTGGGCAAAATAATCTGCAGTGCACCCTGCCAGAGCTTTCACACATCAGTTCAGCTCACAGTTACATAAAGAGACATTTGTGAGAAAGGCAAGCAGCAGAGTCAGAGATGTGCTGCTCTCAGGGACAGTGACACAACAGAGGACAGTGACATCTCGATTGCTGGATCTCGGCAGCCTACTGTACCCACTCCGAATTAGGGCAAGAACGTGGAACAGCCATTAGATGGCAACAACTCCAAATCGCTTCCTGTCCCTCCTGCCTCTGACCCACTGACCTAAAATAACCCACAGTCAGTTTTAGAACAGTTCAAAGCAAGTACAGACCTTGCTTCCCATGCCAGTGTGCTTTTTAAGTGGATAGGGGGCCACGAAAAATCCTCCCCTCGAGAAGAACCTGTTTTGGGAAGCCCATGTTGGACGATGTTCCCACAGAGCCATCGCAGGGGAACATCACCCATGCACACCACGGAACAAGAACACCTTCTGCCAGGGAACTAATGCATTGTTTCTTTAGAAGGACCACCAGATGAGACATCTGCAGCTTGTTCTAAAGACCTTAAAAGATTTACCTGTATCAGATATATCCACTAAAACTAGTATTATATTAGAAGTTGTCTCTATACCTCAGGAAATTCCTTAGGTGCTGATAAACAGCAGTTATTGTATCCAGCAACTTCAGTTGAACACTCTCTCCTATATGTGTTTCTCTTTTTTTGTCTATATTTGTGCCATAAATTCTGAGTATGAAGTTTGAACTTTAGAGGCTTCTTTGCTTATATTCTTTTCTATAAATCCAAATACCAGTCTAGATTTTAATAGAGAAATTCAGTATCATAGAAACATAGAATGGTTTGGGTTCAAGGATAATCTGGTTCCAACCTCCCCAAATTTCACTGTTTTGTACTTGACAGGACTGTCTCCACCACAACAAACAAAAAAGGAATTAAAATGCTCTTTAACCTGCCTTGCCTTACTATTCCCATAATTGCTTATAATGGAGACAGCTACATATTTTCTCCACCACATAGGCTCTTTTTTACATTAGACAGTATCAGTTTTGCTTTAACAGAAGTAGCAAGAAAAACCACTCATAAAACTGCCTTCCTGCCAGTGACATCACAGCCTAAGATAACTTATGCTGGGAAAGACATCCTTTGCTTAGGTTGATAGAAGATATCTACAGGACTGTGTAAAATAAGTTTATTTTACATGTATACAGTAATATATACAAGAACATGCACACAGAAAAGAAAATGATGTTGCAAATAACATTAACAGAAATACAGGTATTTTTAAAAAAAAGGTCACGGATTCCTTAAGGTCAATACCCACTTTAAAACTCAACATGAAGACAAAGGGGCAGACTATCACACAAGAAAAAGCAAATGCTGATATTAGCAGCAGAAACTGTTCGTTTGACATGGTGATGACAGACCGATTCCAGAGTGACAGCTGTTATCCAGCCACCAGAAGGAATTTCTATTCTGCCAAGTAATATCTTGAGTATGAACGAATTTCCATGAGAATAAAATTTTCAGATGTGTGTTCAAGCATAAAATAGCTTGGATAAAATATTAATCCTCCAGGTGAAAACTGCTTCCTAAGCTGTTTTCATAGGGAATCACCTCTCTGCAGGTGGGCAACACACATAAATCTATGGAACATATTATTTATTTTTACCCCAGACACTGTCTAAGCAGGTGATTGGAATTCATGGAAATATCCAAGACAGAAAGCTTGCAGCTCAGAGGATGCATTATGAGCAGCTGCCTCTTTCCTCTCTGCTTCACCAGGAAGACAGAATATTTCTAAGGGCTGATACGTAGCAGTACAAAAATGATGTTACAGTGATATAAAATAACACAAGGTCTACTTTCTCCTGCCTATGGAAAGAAAATGCAGGGCCATGAACCTGGTCATCATAACACAGCTGCAAAATTGTCTTATGTAGACAATTTCTAAAGAAAAGAGGAGTACTAAGAGGAATATTGCACAGCACTAGACATCATGTGAAAGTAAGACCAACTTGGTGGCTCACCTTCATTGTCACTTGATCTCAGCTCTAAGTTATTAACTGAATCAGTGCAGAACAGCTGTCAGATACACAAGGTCAACTCCTCCTGACTTCGGGGGATAGAAAATACTAAGGAGAAGAGATGCAGTGCACTGGATTATCTAATTAGCAGATGATGTGGTTGTTCACCACCTAAGAAGTGTAAAAGCAGTGATATGGTTGACACCATTTTAGCCACAGCAGCTCTAATATTTTATAACTTGAGATATTATTTCAACCAACCAGAACCACTGGCCCTACTGATTTAAGTTTCAAAGACAACACACTGGTTTTCAGAGCTGAAACACTGAGTGAAACCAGGATTTCCTAAGAAAAGACAGATCCCATCTCATTGGATCCCAAACCTAACACATTATGAGAAAGAAGGTACTAAAGTTATAATCAAGCCCATTGTTTGATTTAACATGTAACAAGGACAACAATGCTACAGCTGTATTATTAATAGTAATCTTTTTTCCTGCCACACTGAGGTATTCCAGGCCATGGGAAAACTCACAAATCATTGCTAAACAGACTGCAAAATTTACATTCTTACAAGTATTTCAAACAGAGTCCAGAGTCAAATGTTTAGGAGGGCATTGCATCTGGAGAGAGGGAAGTGGCAAGAAAACCCCAACCAAACAACGAGAAAAACCACAAGAGGAAGGTGTCAAAAAGTGTTTCACTAGAATATGGAACTTTTTGCCTGCAGATAACTTGTAAAAATGTCTAAGGAAGGTATCTAACATAAAAATGAACTTTCAAGGCTTTGAATTGCTACACAGAGGTCAAAATCTCCCTGGAAAATTCCTATGGTATACAGAATTGGGAAAGTCAAACCTCACTAAACCAGAAGATGCCACAAGACATTTGCCTTGTAAAAAAAAAAAAATTAGAGAAAGAAACCTCACCATAGCATTTTAGTAAAAGAACTCAATTCTAATTGTGTGGCAACATACAGAGCAATAATTAAGAAATTCTAGTTTCCAAGCAACCTCCTATGCTTAAAAGTAAAAGGACTGAAAATATTCTTAAAAAAAAAAATTCAGACATCAAATATAAAAATATGTCTTTTTTTCGATTAAGCTAAATAATTCCAAATCGAGAAAACCTTCTAGAAAATGAAAAATGTAGCTATCAGAACTGTAAATACAGTTTTTAATCAAGGAAAATATTTACACGAGGCTCCCACCGGCAAAAGTAGCAGCAGTAAAATTTTACATTGGTAAATTATAGATAGCTGTAAAGAAGTAGAACTCCACAGAAAACCAGATTTCCAGCATTATTCTAGACAACTTACAGAGCCACCTGCCCTCTTTGTTGATTTCTGTATGGCACTCAGACACATTGTAGAAAGACAACCCCCTGTAAACTGTCCTTGCAGGCTCAGATGCCAAAATACAACTGTTAACATTTGAAGGTCCCCACCACAACAGCCAGCTGAAACCATGCTGCTGTCAAATTATTCAGGTCCAGAAGCTTTGCAAAATTCTAGACCTTTTGTTATATGTGTAAACATGTTAGATCCTCTTCTTCAGAGAGGGCTGAAAGATTGCTCCTCAGATCTAACAGCTATTTCCCTGCTCAATACACCCACATCTCCACTGCAGAGGGAAGCAATTTAACCGATTACATTGGATAAAACGTATGCTAAAGGAAAATAACTATTCAGAATTATTTGCTCATTTCACTATATCGCATACATGTAAACATCATTAGAGACCAGGCTTTGTCAAACAGCATCTGCCCACCCCCAAGGGCTCCTCAGTAACAGTTTATAGGGCAAAAGAATCACAGCGAAGGAGATTACATTTTATTTACCTTGATGAGTCATGGTGACGGGTTCGTCACTGGATATATTGTTGTAAATGACCACAGCTGTGGCATTATGTGAAGCTGCTCGCAGTATTTTCTCTTTAAATGTACAGTTTCCTCGCTGTAGTAGAGCAATCCACTGCTTGGTGTTTGGTGGAACTTGGAAACGTGTTCGAGGGTCGCAGCCCAGACGATCTGCAACTGAAATGGGAAATACATTTATGTTCAAACGGGAAAAAAAAAAAAAAAAGGAGCACAACTAACTCCAAGTTTTGCTCAATTACTTAACTGTTGTGCACTAGGAAGCCACTATCCTTTTGTTAATAAAGCCTAAAGATAACTGCATTCTTATCAAGAAAAGACTTAAAAAGAGAAGTCTCATGTATTGAAAGCTGTGACTATATGCCCGAGAATTAGGCTTGCTAACACACGCTATTTTTAACTCCAGTGCAGCTAGAACAATGAATTCACATTCAAATCAATACCTGCCTAGAGGCTTAAAAACATTAGAATATGGTTCATCTGCTAAAGGCATTTACAAAACAGCTGTTTATCAGTCATTCTGGGGAGTGCAACTTTTTTTTTTTTTCTTTCTAATGCAGCCATAAATATCACTGCAGTGGGAAGTACAACTAAACAAAGCAGATTGTGAAAACAAGATTTCAGAGTTATCTGCTGTGTGCAGGATACTGTAAAAAAAGGACAATATTAAAAGCTGATCTTGTAAAACCCCAGCAGCCAACATCAGCTTTTTACATATGCACATTCTGTCTACAAGGAAACGTATTCAAATTCATAGAGAAACAAATGGTTTTGCAAACACAAAGCACTCGTCAGCTAAACAGGTAGAGTTGGTATAAAGGAAGAGTAACAGAAATGGCAAATGCCAGATGTCTGAATTCAACAGTATGCAAAGCTCTTTTGTCCTTTCTGATGCTGTAACATATCCTGGAACAGCCCAAAACCCACACAGAGCTGTGTACAAAAGGCACAAAACCCAAGGCAGAAGATAAACTTCACGCTACAGCAGCTGAAAGCGATGAAAGACAGATCTGGTTGCAAAACTGGAAACACAGTTTAGTCTGATACACTGGTCATATCATGAAAGGATTTTATAAATCTAGAGCCAACAGCAATCTATAATGCAAACATATTTATGCTTTCAAATGCCAAGAGGATAAGAATCGTTGGCTACTAAAAATAGTTGGGATAAACAGTTATTTTTTTCAAGACACAAACAATCAATTTATTTGCATAATAGCTCAGAAAACATTACAAGAGCAATTCAAATGAAGTGCCCTATATTTTTTTTCCTTTTAAAGCAGTGAGTTCAGTGAGCACAGACTATGAGATTTCAGCAAAACATCCACCACAAAAAAAAAAAAATATCCAGTTCAACCTATTGGCTGGAAACAAAAGAAAAGGTCTTTTTTTAAGCACCCTCAGCTTAACACAGCTGAGGTTAAGATCTGTAAGGAAGGAGATTCAAAGAGCTAAAGATGTTTTCTGAAACAAGAAAGACAATCTTCTGCTTGCCTAGAGAAAAGCAGTGCAGATGAATCTATACAGTGGCAGACGTACAGGAAGTCGTTGCATCTCTTAATTTGGACAAGAAGTGCCTCTCCCTGTTCCCCTGGAAGGAGGGTGGGGAGCCAGATACGAGCACATCCTTTTCACAATTGTTTTTCAAGGCTGTATCAGACATTTCAGACATGGAGGGCTATTTGCTGTATCTTTGTACTTTTGCTTTTGTTTCATCCAGGCATCAGGGAAAATCTGAAATACAGATGCCCAAAGCCAAATTTTATAGAGTACTTTCTTCCATTACCCTGACATCATTACTTGAATCACTTTGGAAATTGTTGGCCAGCACTGATCCATCCACACACGTTCTGGAGCGCTGGTGGTGGCCATCATAAACAGCATCAATCATAAAAAGAGCATGTTCATGCCCGCTGCACTTTTGCCGCTTCTCTTTCTAATCTTAAATTTGAGATCAGTACGTATTTTTTAAATTCCTTTTTTAAAAGGAATTATAGTCCTTTTTTAAAAGGAATTATAGTCCTTTCTGGAAATGTTACAGAACCACAATATGGCCCTTGTGCCACCAACCTCAGTGTCCTCTGTTAGGACAGAAGCAGTTTAATGCACACTTCCCTCTTGCTCTGAACATCTCCACTTAAAAACACGGGAGGTGGAAAACACCAGCAAGACCGGGATAGGAAGTTTCTCAAGCCTTGAAAGCTAAAAATCCCATCCTTCTCAGGTGTGGTACATCCTGCTGAAAATGCCATTTAAGAAATGGCCACAATTCCATAGAATCCCCTTAAACTGCCAAAGATAACTCTGAAAGCAGACACTGCGACCAACAAAAAATTACTTTAAGTATATGGAATTATGAAAAACAGTAATCCTATGGATTATGTAGGGTTTGCTTTGGAACAATCTTGCTCAAAATTACGATATGAAAACAAAAATGGTCACAAAAATGAGGCTAATATAGGGAAAAATTATAAAAGCCACAAAGAGCACCTTGAACAAGGAAGCAGCATTACCCAAAGTCTGTTATATAGTTCAGTTTTACAAAAATTCACGTAGGCACCTCGAAACCTGTATGGCTTGAAAATTTTTAGCTCAGAAAGGAACAGAGAAATCAGTAAGAGATAACAGAAACTGCATCTGTGGGAAAAGTAGTACAAAATTTCCTACTATAGTAGAGATCAAAGTCTCTCTCAGCTGTGGACAGAGCTATGAAATGTTACTGGATAAAGCAACAGAATTAGGAAACAAGATATTAAGAGATTAAAGCTTTCCAGATATAGACCAACAAACACCACTCAAATGCTTACAGCATGTTATTCCTGACAAGGTGTATTCAGTATATCCCGATGAAAATTTAACAGCTGACAATATTATTTCAGCACTATTTAAGTAGTACAAAAGATCTGGTTGGTTTAGATAAATCTGAACTGAGTATCTGCAAGTCACTTCAGATTTATTAAAAAGCCACAACTCACTTTTCTTTACCTTAGCACCCTATATCACACCACACAAATGTTAAGTAATCTTTTCACTTTTAACCAAATAAAATTCAGAACCAATAGTAAAACATGAAATTCTCTGCTTGTCTTTTCCATGTACCTAATACGCGATTTTCAGAGGGAAAGTCTTACCATCAGGTTCACCCTTCCTGCATGGTGAGGCAGCTAAAACAAAACATCTGCTGTACAGCTCAGGTGCCAGGCACATGGGTGGGCATTGTAAGGGACACAGATAAACAGAATCACTGACAGCTTTATGTTATCCTGCCATCTATACTCCAGTGCCCAAAGTCCAGCTAAAATCTAAAAGACATGGGATTGCAAGTATTAGCTGGATGATCACAGAATCATTTAGGTTTAGAACCATTTTAGAACCATTCATGCTGGAAAAGACCTCTAAGACCATCAAGTCCACTGATGTATTCACTACTAACCCATGTCCCCGAGTGCCACATCTACAAGTCTTTTAAATCCCTCCAGGGACGGTGACCCCACCACTGCCCTGGGCAGTCTGGTTCAACGTTTGACAACGCTTTTGGTGAAGAAATTTCTCCTAATATTGAACCTAAACCTTCCCTGGCACAACTTGAGCTGTTTCCTCTCATCATGTCGTTTCTTACCCGAGAGAAGAGATCGACTCCCACCTGGCTACAACCTCCTTCCAGGGAGCTGTGGAGAGTGAGAAGGTCCCCCCTGAGCCTCCTCTTCTCCAGGCTGAGCCTCCTCAACTCCTTCAGCTGCTTCTCATCAGATTTGTGCTCTAGACCCCTCCCCAGCTCCACTGTCTTCCTCTGGACACACTCCAGTGCCCCAAGAACTTCCTTGCAGTGAGGTGCCCAAAGCTAATGTTACTCACCAGAATAAAAAAGCAATTTCACATTAAATTGTTCTAAAACAAATCACTTGCACAGAAAAAGACATGATCAGAAGTCACTCGTGTAATTTCAGAAGATAGAAGTGTACAGAAAGCCATCTAAGTACGCTTCCCTCTAGGTGCTACTCTCCCAGTTTATTTGAAATACAAGCTATTTACTCCACCTCTCCTTTCTTTGTGTCTATCTATATATCATGTGTTAGCAAAAACCCAATTTTCTGTTAGAAGTGGCAGCCTGCTGGGTTAAAGAGCTATGACTATATGTTTTGGTAAACATCTCCCTTTCTTCTGTAAGACCCAGCACCACAGAAGAGCCTCTTTACAGAAGGATCAGCTGCAATTAAAGTCTCTACCATTAGGCTCATGTTTGTTTTCAGCTCTAGGAGAGCTTCGGTTTCCTTCTGCAGAACACACAGGACTGTTCAACTTGTATATCTGTTTCTCCTGGACCATTTTTTATAATTCAAGAGCCCTTCATGCTGAAAGGACTAAGGTTTGTGACAGCATTTTAGGGATACATGTGGAAAAAAGTAGTTAATAATGCAACAGATCCAACCAAGCTCCCTCAGCTACTGAAGAAGTAGCAGCAAGCTCACATTAGCACAGCAACAGTACATTCCTCCTCCTCTTTTCCAAGCGCTTGACCAACTTTTTAGCCTTCTCCCTACAAAAGGGAGAGCCATTTTGTGGAAGAAAAATGAAATTATTAGGTCAGCTGTCAGAGGTTTTGCCAGAAATGCTAACCTGCCTGAATGCAGAGTGTCTCCTAGTCCTGAACCACAGCTGGGTTTGCACCCTCTCATACACGGTGTGTTTGTGCTGCTCCAAACACAACAGTGGCTTCAGCCAAGGTTGCTGCACTGGCTGTTATCAGACTTTGCCCTCTTTTCAAGGAAATACCCCGCTCCCTGGGCATTAACCATTTAATTCCATGGCGTTTCTTTTTTTCCCCTTTTTTCCTTTTTCCTTTTTTTCCCTTCTTTTTAAAGGTCAGATGTCTTGCTATTGATTGGATCATAGCTAATACTGCACTCCCTGAGCCCAGCACCAGTTGCCAGAGCTGGTCTGTCTCAGCTACACATACAGAAATCATTTTAAAGTCTGACCTTCAATCACTGTAATACAATAGCTGGAGAGACACCAGCGGTATTTTGAGGGGCAGCAGATCAAGAGGCTCGTTGGGAGCAAAACCAGCACAGGGGAGGGTGAAGTGCCATTCAGGCTGCACCCCAAAGCATTCCCTCCTCCAGCACCACTGCCCAGGCAGGTGCTGCCATAGCACACCTGACTGGTAAAAATAAGACAGCTCTGTGCAACACATTAATTATAATCCTGTGATAAAATTTCCAGAAAATTTAGCTGGGAAAACTACAGAAGCAACACAGCAGTGCTGATTGATTCTTATTTCAAGGAAGGGTACTAGTTATTTGCAATCCTATTAGGGCTTAATTTGTGCAATAGACATATTTTCTTTCAATGTATTACTACTTGTCTTATTATCAATACAGTTCCTATTCAAGCCAGCCATAATTTCCACTTTTTAAAAATTGTGTCGATGAGTCAATGAGTTATGTACAACGACATTTTATTTCCAATAGCTCTTTCAGGTAATTGCTTTGACTAAAGCTGGCTTTAGCACTAAAAGAAACTCTTGGAATAAGAGGTAATCTTGTTTCAGGGAAGAAGTTAAACAAAAGAAAATCAGTGAAGCTCAGAAGAGTCCTGTAATAGTTCAGATTTAATCTTGTTAGCTCAATAAGTATTACAATTATGGCTATAAACTCCCATATATAACCTCCACTTTTTCTATCAATTAATGACTAGCTGGATAGTGAGACCAATGGTAAAGGATGGATGCATGGCACAAGATTTTTATTCCTCTATTCCACTGATATATTCGCTTTTTGCATTTTCCTAAACCTTAATGGTTTGGATTCTGGGTCAGAAATTCCGTCAGCTACCTAAAGCTCTGCAGTTACCAGGAAACTGGGATTTTAAACCTTCTGCAGCTAAAACTTGTTCACACAACATGTTTATGAAGTGTCAGATGCGACAGAACGCTGTAGTTACAGCACCATGCAACCTCCATTCTTAACACTGAGCCAACACTGTTTCTTCCCCACTTTCACCGTTTTCTAACATGTTTTTCCTCAAATTCTCGGTCTCCTTACCCAGCCCCAACCCTAACAACCCCTGCAAGAGACCTCCCCTTCCTATTAATTCTGTCTCCAAAGCAGCTTTTGTACAACCACCATGCACCCTTTAAACTTCCTCCCTTTCCACCCCTCCTCACACCCTTGTTCCTGACCTATTGGCTCAGTGAATCTTAACATTTTCAAGTTTGGCTTTGAGTCTGCTGCTATTTCTCTTCCTATTAGCCCCATCTCCAGTCCAGACCACCCTTCCTGCTTTCCCTGCTACCCAATTCTCATCTCCCAGCAAGGTGTGACCACCCATGAGGGGACCTGGAGCACACAGGACTGACATTTCCAGTGCTCCAACTGGAATTCAAGCAGAAAACAAGCAATAACACAGACTCAACAGTCAAAAATAGTGGATGGGGCTTTGAGCAACCTGATCTAGAGGAAGGTGTCCCTGCCCGTGGTAGGGGGGTTGGAAGATGATTTTTACGGTCCCTTCCAACCCAAACCTTTCCGTGACTCTATGAAATGTCTGGCTGCACAAAATCACAAATAAGAGAGTAAGGGATTGAGGGAGAAGCGCTCAGGAACCTCACAAAGAGATACTACAAACCTGAACTAGACTATCAGAAAAGCTGCGTCAGGCTGTGAAGATGCATTTCACTATTATCCTTCCATTTAAAACCCGAGGAGTACTTTTTCCCCACAACCTGCAAGCATGCATATCCAGCAGCTTTTAAAAATGCTCTTCTAATAGGAAAATTAAGTCATGAAAAAAGATTAACAAGGTGGAGGAGGTGAGAAAAGGAACTAGAGGTGGAAGAACGGAAGGGAGACTAATACAGAAACTAAGCTGCTACCGTGCATTTAACGCTCTTGGAAGAACGTGCACACACAGGTGCTGCACGTTCACCCAGCAGCCAACTGTGACCAGCAGCTCGCTGGAGCTGCCCTTTCACATGGCACATTCACGAGCGGTCACGCCGATCCCCGACCGCCACACCAGGGGAGTGAACGCTGCTTTGGAGAGCCCCTATCCATTTCACACCAGGGCCTATAAAAAGAACAGGGGAAGAGGTTTTAATGCGGGCACGAACACAGCAAGGTTGGATTTCATGAGAGAAATGCTGCTAAAGAAACGGGAGAAGGGATCGACCGTGTCATTGTGCACAGATATAAAGGATGGGTGATCGTATGGGACTGGCATCTTCTTTGAAAAGTAGTATATAAAATGTTGGGCATATTCAAGAATACAAGTTAAAACCCACTGCAGAACAGAACACTTAAAATCACGGGTTGTGGTATTACACATGGTAATATGGCTTGCAGCAGAACATTATCTCTAAATCTTGAATTAATAAATTAATTTATTTCCCTTCAGCAAATGAATAATGGATGTAAAAAGATGTCCCATCACTGGAAGTGTTCAAGGCCAGGTTGGATGGAGCTCTGAGCAAACTGGTCTAGTGGAAGGTGTCCCTGCCCATGGCAGGGGGTTGGAATGAGATAAACATGAAGGTCCCTTCCAACCCAAACCATTCTGTGATTCTTAACAGAGCATGCAAAAATGTGACATTAAGGACATTTCAGCTCTAAAACAGACTATACCCTCAAGGTGCTAAAAGATCACCCACATTTACGGAAATTTCGAAGGACAGGCCATAAATGGGTGAATGCTTGACATCAAAGCAGTTTCAAAGTCAAGGTATCTTCAAACACAGTTGTTAACAAGGTTTGCAGAGCCCTTTTCTTCTGAGGATAAGTGAGAAAAGGGGTAGAGCATGTACTGCTCTAACAGCAGTGGTTGGAAGCTACTCGTGTTTAGAGCTATTAGAAAAAATATTTTGTAAAACAGTCCTTCACTAATATAAGCAGGCTGATAAAAAGACATTAGAGCAATTACCTTCAGCAAGACTGCATCATCTTTTATCAAATTTATGTATTAAAAAAAGCAGATGTTTAAGAACAGCTTAACTAAAAGCATAAAATATTCCAATCTTTCTTACCACATGAAATATTTTTAAACCACAAGAAGCACCTCAGCAAAATTCAAATAAAATGTACACTATATAACAACCTACACAGAACAATTCAGAATATCTCAAAGTAAGGAAGACAACTGCTGCTGTGCTTGCTTTAAGTCTTGTGTTGTGAAACAGAAGGACAAAACTGAGTCCCCCCAACAACTGATGACAAAGTTTTAACAACTGACTGCACCGTGTCAAAACTGCAGCAATTCAGGTCTGCAGTTTCACAGTTCCTGCTGCGTTTTCTCACTAAAGTTATCATCGTAATACTTAGCAGCAGGTTTAAAAAAAACTGTTTATGGACTGGAATTTTATTTAGCTCTTCTCCCATTACTAGCAGCCTGTGAAAATGCTGTCACAGCCTCCCTCAATGTTTTAATCACAGCTTAGTGAAGATCATATCAGAAGAAAGCAGAAAATGTCACAGCAGCAGACTAAAAAGAAATTAATATCAAAAGTTTTCCTTGACAAATAATGCAAGCTCAAAATATAAAGTGCTTTGATACCCTGAATATATTAAAAGGCAGCAGTTTCAAAACCTGTAAAAATACTACTTGCAATAACAGTGTTTACATGTTTCAGGACAGATCTCTGATGTCATGGGGGGGTGCAAGTGAGGAACACCAGGAAGCAGAAGAAAGACTGAGCATATTTTGATGATAGCTGAAGGTATGAAGTGCAAATGAAAATTGTTTTACAGTACATTTCCTCAACAATTTCTGCTTCCACACTCTTCCACCCAAAAATCTGCCCCATTAATATGTTCCAGTTACACTTTGTAAAGCTAATGAAAGCAAGCCTCAGTGAGACCGGCAAGCACCTGCTGATGCACAGCCTGATCCATCCGGACCAGAAGGTTACAGAGGCTGCCTACCAAGATGCATTTGTTCTGAAGAAGCATCAAAGTATTCCTGATCTCATGATCTGGCAAATTCTCTAAAGCTTCTAATAATATAGTTTTGTGTTATCAATTCCTCTAAACCACTCTTAACCTTCACCACTTAGACTCTGGTTTTAACTGACTACAATATTTCGCTTAATACATTATTCAGATGTTTACTGTCCAGGAGACAGGTTGGGACCACTGTGATCCATCAAGTGGTCTATTTTCTTAAAGATGGCAGTTTAGATAACGTCAAGAAGGATTTTCAAAATAAGATTCTATTAAAACAACATCATTACCACTGAAGAAACTGGCTTCATTTCAGGCAGAAATCACAAGTCTCACTTGTTCAAATTAGTGTTCTTTATAAACCCCAAGATTTGTCAAAAAATCCCCCCAACTGATGGACAACAGCTTCACTTAATTAAAAGAAAACTTAATTGGGAGCTCTCTACCCAGTGTTCAGTACTGCATTTTGGGTTGGCTATGAGAGTAACAACTTGATAGCTTCAGTCCTTCCAAGTCTGGATGAGCAGCTTAAACAGCGCTTTTAGGAACTGTACACTGAACAATCGTGACTTCACGCAGCTGCCAAAGCCATCCGGATGCACGTCTCGCAGCGCGATGGCAATGCAGCTGTTCTGAGATTCACGGCAACGCTGTCCCCAAATACTATCAACCATCGCTACCGACTGTCTGTAGTTAGTTTAGGAATAACACCTTCACCCGCTCAATACGCTCAGCCTACTGGGATCCGCGCTGGAAAGCACATTATGCTTTGCCGAGCCGTTATTCAAGCCAGCACTCTCAGATCATGGATTTATTTTATTTTCCTCTGGGCAGGCTCTTCCTCCCCGTCCGTCAAGGGCTCTCGAGGAAAGCCTGCCCAGCCCAGGCAAAGGGGGCCAACCACCCGGCCAGCGAGCGAGGGGAAGCGTTACCTCCGTTGATGGGGACGGGAGCCACCAGCAGCCCCTTGACCTCCACCTTGGGGGAGTCCTGCCCGTAGCGGCCGCGGTCGATCCGCAGCAGCGTGGGCCCGCCGCGCTCGGGGCTCAGCACGGTCACGTTGATGAGCGCGGTGTAGTACGCCTGGCTGGCGTTGTCGGCGCCGGCCGGCCGGACCCGGCCGTGCCACAGCAGCAGCGGCAGCAGCAGCAGCACGGAGGAGCCGCCGTTCCAGTGCTGGCGAGCCCACCGCCAGCTCATCTTCGACTCCCTGCGAGCCGACGGCCGTCACCGGTTGCCTCCGCCGCTGCCCCGAGCCCCGCACGCCCGGGTGTGTCCTATCCCATCTGACAGCCCGGGAGCGCGGAGAGACCAAAAGCAGGCGGAGCGGGGAGGAGAGCTCGGGCTCATGCCATGGGAGGAGCCAGGGGAGTCATGGCAGGTCCCAGCCGAGTGCGATCCGCCGCCGCGGCTCCCAGGGGAGGCTGCTCGGGGGCAGCCGCGCTCCGCCGGTCCCTCGGGGCTCCGCCGGTCCCTCAGGGCGCCGCGCTCATGCCGCCCGCCCACCGCTGCCCGAGCCGGGCGAGGGGAGGGGAGGGGAGGAGGCGGGGGCGGCGCCGCGGCCCCCTCCCCGCGCAGCCCCGCGCAGTCCCGGGGAGGCCGCCGGGAGAAACCTCCGCCGCCGCCGCCGCCTCAGCCGCGTTCGCACAGAGCCACAAGGCTCGCCTCGGGCTCGGCCCGCCACGCCGCCTCGCTTCGCTTCGCCTCGGGGCTCGCCGCCGCCTCAGTGCGGTGGGAGGCGCAGCGCGGTACCCAGCCCGGCGGCAGCAGCCCGCGGCCGTCGCTCCATGCCCGGCTCGCCCGGGGGCGGCGAGGCCCCCGCTCCGTCCCGCGGCTCCGCCACCGGCCCCGCGCCTCGACTGCAGCCCCGCGCTCCGCGCTCTGCGCAGGCGCAGTACGCCCCGCCCCGCGCCACGAGGGCGAGAGGCGGGGCTGAGACCGGGGCCACGCCCACAAGGGCGGGGGTAATGCTGAGAGGGCGGTGCTGTATGGCATGACGTCATCGTGGGCGTAGCCATGGCGGTGGTGGGAGAGCGGGCTGGGCTCCAGGGACCCGCAGTTCCACGAGGAATTGGATCACAGAATGAGTTAGGTTGGGAAAGACCTCTGAGGTCATCGAGTGCACCCTGTGACCTAACACCATAATGTCAACAAGGCCATGGCACTGAGTGCCACGTCCAGTCTTTCCTTAAACACCTCCAGGGACGGTGGTTCCACCACCTCCCTGGGCAGCCCATTCGATGTCTGATCAGCCTTTCTGTGAAGAAATTCTTCCTAATGTCCAACCTAAACCTCCCTTGGCAAAGGGACATGTAATGGCTCCCATAGCTCTTCAGTGACTTTTCAGAAAAGTATTCCCAGCCCAGGAGCACTGAAAGTCAAAAAGATACAAGAGAGGGTTTAAAAGTGTGTCCAAAATGGGCTGTATGTGTGAGAAAGAGGTGGGATGTGTTCAGTCTGTCCAGGTAGCGCTTTAGAAAAGAGCTTTGGGACAGGAGCAGCACAGCCTGTGTGTCAGGATTGGGTCACTCCTACCCAACTTGGAGTTACTTGCTTCTGATGTACGAAATGGGAAATTGTATAAACATTCAAATGTTGTTAATAAGTACTAATCCCATGAAATAGTGTAAAACAGGGCTTGATAAATTATTCTCTTTAACTAACTTAGTTTTAAGGATTTCGGCCTCTTTGGAGATGTAACAAAATAATGTAATTGCCTTCTTGGATTTTGAAAGGCAAACTATCTGAAAATTAGTTATGGCGAGGAGGACAACTCCTGCAGGACTGTGAGGATATTTTCTGTTTCTGAACAAATAGCTGTCCTGCTGTTCTTCTGAGATACGGTCTCCTCAGTGACTTCCCCAGCTGCTTGGGGAGTCCCTCAGATAAGCCTGGTGCTTGGCCCGTGCATCTTATTAAACAGTTTTCTTCTGCAAGGTTTTGTAGTTTATCCATTTGTGATGCACCTGGTCATGCACGCACGTAAGATAACACCGTCGAAGCACAGTCTATTTATTTTGCTGAGACGCAAGTAGCGGGGCTAATCCTGCCCCTGGGGAGACCTGTTCCGTTCCCAAGGAAAGCAGCAGGCTGGCAAGGCTGTATCTCAGAGCAGAATGGATCTGTGGGCTCTGCTAAAAGCACGTGTGCCTCTGTAAAATCCTCTGAGAAGCTGTTTCTGCAAAACTCTATAGAAATGTCAATACAATCCAGGAAATGTTTCTGAAACAGCAGCTGAATGTTCTGCTTGCGATTTTTTTTTTAATTTAATTTTGCTCTTCTTGGTAAATGCTGGGTGAGGAACTACATGGCCTTCTCATTTCACCCAAACTTTCACCCCAGCCAGAGAGCAAGAGTTGTATCAGTATCAGACACACTGATACTGCACTGTGCAGAACATGTTTCGGAGCTGTTCCTGCTTTGATTTCTCAGCATTAAGAGCTCTGCATCATTCTGATGCAAAGTCATGTGCTTTATTGCCGAAATGTCCTCAGAAGGGGCAAGGGAGTCCTGGGAGCCTGAAGGATTCTTCACTGTTACTGCACTGACCTTTGGAGAAGGACCTCAGAGCACTTCTGAAAAGCACTGATGAAACATCTGTTGGCCGTGTTAGAAGGCAAACAAGGGGCCAAGCCAGCAAATTCCCAGTTCTCTTTGCTAAGCACGAGAAGCAGCTGCTTTTTATTTTGCCCTGTCTGGTTCCCTGTGGGTTGTGTTTCTGCTGGAGAGACATGGTCTGCCACGCTCCAAGCCCTGTGGGAGGGCTTCCTGTTTGGTTCCATCCCCATCCCCATCCCCATCCCCATCCCCATCCCCATCCCCATCCCCATCCCCATTCCCATCCCCATCCCCATCCCTCCTCACGCAGCTGGGAGGCTGCTCAGTGCTCGTCTGCTCCTCACCTGCCTCCCAGCCTATGGGCATCTTGTGGATGGCCTGGGAGGCAGCCGAGGAGCAGCCGACTGCTCATGGCTCCAGGAGAGGAGCCTCACGAGAGGAGCAGCCCGGCAACGCACCAGGATGCGCAAAATTGGGATACTTCATGAGCAGAGCATCTTCCATCTCCTCGTTCCCCAGAGGGACAGGTCCCCGGATGGGGAGGGGAGAATCAGAAGGTCCTTTTGTCTGTTTTCACCCTGGATGAAAGGAGGGCGGTGGAGAGGCTGGAGCAGAGATTGCCCACCCCACACGGCCTCACACCGCCCGCCATCTTCCCGCCCGCGGCGCGCGCCCGCCGCCGTGGGGAGGGCGCCACCTGCGGGCCGCGGGCGGCACCGCGAGGGGCTGAGGCGGCACCGGGGGCGGGGGAGAAGGAGGGCCTGGGGGGTCGGTGCTGAGGAGAAGGGGGCTCCGAGGGGGTCGGTGACCCGAGGAGAAGGGGGTCCAGGGGTTTCTGGTCGTCCCCCCCCTCCTCCCCAGCGTGGTGAAGGAGGTCGGGAGGGTCCGTGGGGGCCGGAGGGTTCCAGACCCCCAGGCCTGAGGCGTGACGGATCCGGGGCTCAGGGCTGGGCGCTGAGAGCTGAGCTGCCGGCTCCTGCCAGCCGGCTTGGCCACAGCGCATCCGGCTTCACCATGAGAAAAGACGAGAGTTCCATCCTGGATGGAAACGCCACAAAGGCCAGCTGTTTCCGAGAGGATGAGGGGAAACGCAAACGGGCACAAAAGTAAAAATAATAAATCCCCAAATGCGCTCACGGCTTGGCCGGGGCTGTGCTGCCCAGGGCTGTGGGGGCACTGGTGGCCCCAGGAACCAGAGAGCAGCTGCCAGTTATGACTTTATTCATTTTCACATTTAGATATTAAAACAAAAAACTCTTAATGACAAAGGATAACAGGTACTATAGGAGGAGAGGAAAGGAAGCAGTGTTCTAACTGGTTTGATATATAACCGTGAACTTCCAGAGACGAGACTCAACGTGAGTTATAAACACTCACATATGCTCACTGGTGGGAAAACTCATGTGCAAACACCCACACACTCACACACAACACACTCACACACACACAGACCACGCTTTGTACTCGCACATAACCCATGTTGTAACCTACTTGCTTCGAAGGCAGCCCACTGAAACATTGAATGCTGCTGGAGCAACAACAGGTACCAGGCTAAAATATTGCAATATAAATGAAGTGTTACTTGATACACAGGTTTTTCTTCAAGAGACACACGTGTATTTGCAAGTAGGGGACCTTTGTTTTCAGGAGGGAGGAATGTCCTCTCAACGCCAACATTTTGCAAGAAAAAATGAGGCTGGTCATAAAGCAGAAACAGTCATTTTAAAGGAAGGTGATGATGATAAATAGCTTAGCTTCAATGCTGAGTTCCAGTAAAAAGCCCAAACAAACCAAAACAAAACAGAGAGTGCATTGTGAATAAGCAGGCACAATTACCGAGCCCTGGGTTTTAAAAGTTGAAATACTCCCTTGTTGCTGTGGAAAGACAGAAAACACTGTTGTCTCACATCTTAAAACCAAAACAGACCAGCTTCACTTCATGCTCATGCTTATCTGGAGACTGTAAAAATAAAAAGCCAGAAATAATGCAAGAGAGTGGGAAGGGTTATCAGGTTTGTACATCTAATTTTAGTATACTTTTAGAGAGCAAAAGTACAATTGTCTCAACAGCTCTTCAATATCCCACACTACAGTTCTACATCAGCAGGAGTGTCTGAAGAGGAGACAGCATTTGCTCCTATCAGGCTGCATTGTTCATGCAACGCTGTTGACACAGCTACGATAGGATCTGATTCAACCCCCACCCATCAAGATGGTGCAAGACAGAGAAAATAAACTTCTGTGCACTTGAATGTTCAAAAATCAGATGTCACACCAGTGCTTTCCCCAGGGTGAAGCAGGGGATCGTTAACAATGGCTCTAATGAAGTAACATTTCTCCACAAGGATGCTTGTGAGCAACTTACAGCTAAACCTAGAGATAAAGTGCAGCTGTCCTGGCTGGATGGCCACACTGAAAACGAGCCTGGGTGCTCAGATGCCTCTGTCCCCTTTCTGCTGAGAAATTGTGCTGCTGTCCTGCAAGTTGGGCTTTGCTAGTACGTATCTATCCCTCACATATAGAGAAGGACTTGCAGCTACTTTGGAATTCTGTTTTTCAACTATTATTTCCTTTGAGATCCTTTTTCTTGGGCCGTCTCTCAGATGGGGCTGTGTTTCCCGGCAGACAACGCTTTGTGAGCACTGGAAACAAGAGAGCCTGGGCACATCATCCAGCGAGCAGCCTGAATTTAGCTCAGCCAGCCACCTTCCACCCATGTGAATGCCAGTGGAGACCTCCAGCAGCACAGGGCACATGCAACCTTCCTTCTGCCGAGGGAACCACCAGTCCGAAAACCAGGGCAAGATGAGGGCGGGAGAATTTGGTCTGGCCTACGCCCCGCTGGCTGTCCTACTTCCTTGGCCTGGCTCTCCAGCATCTCCTGCCAGAGGATTCTTACTGAGTCACAACAATTACTGAAAGATGCTTAAATTCCTGGCAACTTCAGGGGACACCAGTAGAAGTCAGGGAATTCACTGTCACATGTGGTTTTCCATTCCACATCTTGAGCCAGTTTGGCTCAAGCT